GATGATGATGATGATGATGATGATGATGATGATGATGATGATGATGATGATGACGATGATGATGATGATGATGATGATGAAGATGATGATGATAGCCAAAGGAAATAATGAGAACAATTATTAAGTCAAACTGATCAAAACAAAACAACAGCAACAACAACAGCAACAACAACAGCAACAACAACAGCAACAACAACAGCAACAACAACAGCAACAACAAAACAGAAAGAAAAGAAAAACATGTATTCAAAAGACAAATTTAAAAAACATGCAAAAACAAATCTGAAAACAACTACAAACGAACTATCTACCAGTGTGAGTTTTTGCACCATACGAGATCTTCATTCTCTTATTTTTTTTTCTTTAAAAAAATGTTCTTCTTCCACAGAGGCAATGGCCACCGCATCGGAAGTATTCCGTCCTAGCGACGGGGAGTTGCTGATCCGAGACAGCCTGTCCCAGGGCCCCTCAGTGCCTACGGACACGTTCAAGAAGGAGGACCGTCGCCCTATGACGCAGGGCGGGTACCGCTTCGGCCAGCTCAGCCACAACTCGTTCTTCACGAGGCACAACCCCCACCCTGCCCGAGTCAGGCATCTCAAAGGTGGGATCTTTGTTTGTTTTAGTAAGGTTTTACGTAAGGCTTAAGAAACTTTATTTATCAAATGAATGTTTTTGTGCAATGTGATGTGGGCCAATGGCCTTAAACACTGAATAAACTTACTTACTTACTAACGTAAGGAGCTCACAACTGCATAAAAAGGTCATATTATGAGCGCCAAGGGGTGGATGTTAACAGTAGAGAAGTCCGCACTGGGAATCAGGCTTACTTGGCTCACATGCACCTCTCAAGCCTCAACAACACGAAACGTCTGCTTCGACTATCAAGGCACCCCCAGAAACAGCAGTTCACAAGAGAGTGACAAACATACAAAAGATGTATATGGAAAAATGACGATAGTAAGGATGAGGAATGAAAAAACAGCAGTTTCCCCTATGTTGTTCCGGTACAGTATGAGCATGACATTGATAAATCAGCCCATTTACAATTCTACGGTGCATAAGAACATGTTAATATCCCCCCTTTGAGAATGGCCTAAAGACACGTCAGTTAGTAGCACTGCTGTGGGGGTGGGTAAGGTGGGGTCTGGATGACCATGCATGGATTGGGGTGGGGGGTATTTGTTTTTTTCCTCCATAATTCCGAGGAGAGAAATAGAATGAACTTTGAGA